AAGATAAGAGCTCATTTTTTAAATATATGTGTTAGACATTCATTAGCACATGTGTGTGAGAGCAAACACACTTGCATGCCTTCACTTCCTGTATCTATATGTTAAATTGGATTGCTTTTGCCTAGTGACAACTGCAGTGAAAGCTCCCTGCAGAGAATCACAGGAGTCTGAGTGAAGGGGTTATTTTAGTGGTTTTTCACCATCTGAGAACTGCATTGAGCCACAAGAGCTTTCTGATGGGACTTGGCAAGCTTTGCAATGTAGACAAGATTGTTTATTCTGCTGGCAAATTGTTCATAACAGGGTTTGGCTCTCTTTTGAAGTTTTGTGAGTATATATGTACATGTATATGTATACATTGATTTTTTAATTTTACATAATATATAGATACAGATGAATATATGGAAGCTTTATCTTAAATCTTTGTTGGCAACATTTGTACTTGAGATTTTATTATAATGATAATTGTTTACTTGGAAAATCCATCCTGTTGATAGAATATTGCTGAGATCCTACCTCCTCACCACAAAACTTAATCTATATTTAAAATGAACTTTCTGCCATCAACTCCACATGTCTCAGAAGAGGATATTTTTAATAAAGGCAGTAGAAAAATATGCTTTAAAATACAAAATAATAGGGGCTGGGAAGGTGACTCAGTGGTAGAGCGCTTGCCTTGCATGCATGAGGCCCTGGGTTCGATTCCTCAGCATCACATAAGCAAAAAAGAAAAAACTGGAAGTGGCGCTGTGGCTCAAGTGGTAGAGTGCTAGCCTTGAGCTGAAGAGCTGAGGGACAACGCCCAGGCCAGAGTTCAGGCCCCACAACCAGACCCCATCAAAAAAATACAAAAAATTAATAGTTTGTCAGTAGCTGCTGGAAAAAAAAAAAAGAATCCTGGGCACCAGTGGCTCACACCTGTAATCCTAGCTACTCAGGAATGTCCATGAGACTCATCTCTGATCAATCACCCCCCAAAAAACGGAAGTGGCACTGTGGTTCAAGTGGTAGAGCACTAGTCTTGAGCTAATGAGCTCAAGGACAGCGCCCAGGCCCAGAGTTCAAGCCCCACAACCAGCAGCAACAACAAAAAAGAATCTCAAGGACTTTCCTACCCGGGCTGGCTTTGAACAATGATCCTCAGATCTCAGCCTCCTGAGTAGCTAGGATTACAGGTGTAAGGCACCAGTACCTGGCTTGATCAATATCTTTTGTGTGAGTGTGTGCCTATCCTGGGTCTTGAACTCAGGTTCTGGGCAATGTCCTTAAGCTTTTTTGCTCAAGACTAGCACCCTACCACCTGAACCACAACTCTACTTACAGTTTTTGCTTTTTGTTTTTTGCCGGTCGTGGGGCATGAACTCTGGGCCTGGATGCTGTCCCTCAGCTCTTCAGCTCAAGGCTAGCACTCTACTATTTGAGCCACAGCACCATTTCCAGCTTTTTCTGCTTATGTAGTGCTGAGGAATTGAACCCAGGGCCTCATGCATTCAAAGCATGCACTCTACCACTGAGCCACCTTCCCAGCTCTCTACTTACAGCTTTTTGGCTAGTTATTTGGAGATAAGAGTTTTGTGGACTTTTTTGCCCTGGCTAGCTTTGAACCATGATCTTCAGATCACAATCTCCTGAGTAGCTAGGTTTACAGGCCTGAGCCATTGGTGCCTGACAAGTTGTTTTTTTTTGTTTGTTTTTAGCCACTTCTGGGGCTCGGACTCATGGCCTGTCCCTGAGCTTTTTTTTTGCTCAAGGCTAGCACTTACCACTTGAGCCACAGTGCCACTTCTGGCTTTTTCTGTTTATGTGGTAGTGAGGAATCGAACCCAGGGCTTCCTGCATGCTAGGCAAGCACTCCACCACTAAGCCACATTCCCAGCCCTGAGTAGTATTTTTTTGTTGTTTAATGGAGTATTTTTTATTACAATACATTAGTTACAAAGTGTGGAGGGGGAATCATTGTGACATTTCCACTCATGTACACAAGGTATTCTGCTCAATCTTTTTATCTTATTTTTTTATTTTTTATATTTTTTGTGAACACACTGTACAGAGGGTTTACAATTACATGGGCAGGTTAATGTGTACATTTCTTATCAAGCATTGCTGCCTCCTCCTTTGTTTACCCTTCACATCCCTTCCCAGCCTCCCCCCAACCTCCCCACCCAGTCCTCCCCCCCCCACCAACATTGTAAAGCTCGTTTTCGACATGACAACTTGTACTTATTGTTGCAACAGGTCCACCTGTATCCTTAAACGACTTGTTTTTCCCCATCTCCTCTACAAGTTATACTGACATCAAATATAGTGAAAGCAGGGGTTATACTGTGGGGGAGGGACATACAAAGCTACAAAGA